GGTATCATTGGCAAAAGGCGTGGCCAACATCAGGCGGGTCGAAGCTTGCCATGGAACAACTCTGCAGCCGCTAGTATGCCTTTATTTGTTTGTGAGGTAGTATGTTACAAGAAAATTTCGATTTTCACTCTGTAAACCTTAATTTTATGGAGTTGTGATTACGGTACCCTTCAGGGCATGTAATCGATGATGTCTTGTGAAAATTTGGTCGCGATCCGAGCACAGGAAAGCCCCTAAACTTGTGCCCAAAGTGCACAGTTTTATAACATGCAATATACTATCGGTGTATGTAGGCGATACAGTGTTGCCAGTTGGCCGAAGCTCGCCGCGTTGTCGGATGGGCATTGACGCAATGTGCTGCTGCTGAGTTCGCTGCGCATCCAGAGGTAACGTGATTTTTGTGTCGTTGCACTTTTTATTGTTCATGGTTGATAGCGCACTTTTAGTAGTAGCCGTAGACTTTCGAAATCCATGCCTATTAACGTCCATTCCGAAATGTATAACTAATGGATTTTGGGTTATCGACAGCCGCGAGACACGTTTTATCATTTTTACTCATCATTGCGTCCACAATCGTTGCTGCTGGTCTTGCTGTTTATACTTCTCAAGGCCTGCTGTGTGTGTTTTTGACCGGCCAAATTGACTTGGAATCTGAATACATAATTCGATGACGCTCGGGCCGAAAGGCTAATTAACATTGTCATTTGTTTACATCGTCGTTAACACCGAAACGAAAGTTTTTAAAAGTTGTTCCTATCCTAATGGCTTTCGCGTTTATTGTTTGTTTAGGAAGTCTGTTGACAAATGCAATTATGTCATTCGCTTAAATCTATATCTCCACCGCTTAAAGCGCTTTTATCTTATCTCTTATCACCCAATTGAACATGCCATGCCGTTTCTGGTTGTAAACAAAACGTAGCCAACGTTGATGTGTATTTAAACTTGGTTGTCATTATGCAAGCATACTTCTGTGACAGGCATTTGTGGTGCTGAAGAGTCCGACCCCACTTTCCATCTTCGTCGTGCACGTTACTGCCCTGAACTCTTTCCTTCCCTCTCACCCCCCACCCGGTGCGGCCGGCTTTATTGTGTTTCCTCTCGGACTCATTTGTAATGCAGGCGTTGTCTCTTTCAAATTACTACGTCCTTCTCTTTTTATTTCCTTTTGTAAAAGAACAGCGTGCATCGAGAGAGCCGAGTGTTCTGTCCCTATTTCCTATCGTTCCCTTCTTGTTTACGTTCGCCGAAGGGAATCGGCCTTCTCTCTTGATGACATGACAGGATGCGAGCCCGTCTCTGTCTACCGGCTGGGGTGCCTGTTAAAAAATATCGCCAGGGGACGAACTCACCCCTGTATCCTTGCTATCTCGAGGCTTCTATGCATCAGAATTTCGAAGCAACTTTTGGTACCTACGTGTTAAATGTTATAACATTGGTCATGGCTTTTCTTTGCCTTAGAACGAAACAGTAAAAATACTGACATATAAACAATTTACCACATCATCCTAATGTGAGTCAGTGGGCACTAGTTTTTTTGTCGGAACCTAGTCAATCATCATTTTACCAATTGTCTAATAGGTAATCAATTGATATTTGTCGGCATCACTTTTTACTATGAGATGAATTTCCTCTTCAAATGATACAAGTACATGGAGCTAGAAATATCTCAAATGCAATCAGTTACACTCGACATAATCCATTCCTTATCCTGTAGTTGGTACCTCTAATTAATCTACTTCCTCCAACTCCCTTAACGTGTGGTTATGGTTAATCTTTAATCTCATGTTAGTGAAGATGACATGCAATGATCCACTTGGGATAATCTTCACTTGCATTACAATTAACCTGTTTGGATGTCATACATGACAGTGGGTAGTAAAGATTGAAGAGCATGCTTTAATTTCTAACAAATGATTGGAGAAGTTGCATTCTGCCTGCCTTTGATAATAGGTGTATCAACTTAGTTGAGCCGAGGAATCAAGCATTCTCTTGGCTAAATGATTCAGAAGAGAGAGGAGAGGGTGATGGTAGGTTTCTAAATGACCCTTTTCTCATTTATCTCTAGTATAGGTGGTTTAAACATTGGATGCCTTACAGCAAGAATGCATTTAGTCAAAGAAGAATATGATCTTAGAATCGCTTTTCGGACGCATGACGTTGAAGAAGGATTTTTAAATCTCAAATTAATCTTCTTCCATTTATTCCGTACTTATGCTAGTAAATCTTCTCTTCGTTATTTATTTATGTAGCATTATTTCTAGACACATGTATATGTACAGTTAAATGTGACTCCCTAAACGTGTATTGTTCATGAATGTCGTTCCTTATCGCATGATATCGTCCGTGATGAACGGAAGCAAGTATTAATGGCCAATTGTTTTATATTTTCACTGTTCCAAGGCTTTCCCGATAAAATAGAATAATGTCAAAGTAAAACAAGGTCGTCACTGTACACAAATGCGTGCGTGCGAGCCGATGGACACCTACGTGTTTGTCATAACATGTATCTATTGACAGCACACGTATTCAGCGTGTTAGTGGATGATTCGGCAAAATCACAACCAACCCAAATCGATAACAGATTTGAGTAGATACATCATCCAAAGGCTTATCTTTATCCTTATGGATGAATCGCTTGTTGTCTTCTTCAAAAGGAACATGTGTATCTGTGATAAGTGATAATGAGTAAGAGACAGCTTAGGGTTCTGAAGGTAAGTATACATCTAGTCCATATTAGAAAATTTCTTCTTTGAAGGGAATTGTATGAAACACGTTAGTCTTAAGCTTGTTTTTAAGATTCATTTATCCACTGCTGTAGAATGTATTTGTTTGTAATACTTATTAAATGTCTACCATTATTTATTGCAGTTATATTTAAGAAGATTCCACCACCTTAGCAGTAAGTATAAATTCAGTCATTATAATAGTTCGTGTGGTAAATTTAGTAACTGAATAGATTGCAACAGAGAATGTACTTCAGTACAGTTTAACATCGTCTATTGTTATCTTCTTATCTAATGTTACCTTTTGATATCATCTAATAGTTCTAGCGTTATCTTTCTAAATTCATTAAACATGCCTTCACATCAGTTGACAATACAACACCTAACGTCTCTCGTCCAGGAGGCTTAATGTTTCGCCTTTAGAAGATATCTTCAGTTTGCTTATTACTTAAGACATAAAGTACGTTGTTACTTTCCCTGTAGATGTTAGGGTTGTGTATTCGGGAAGTCACCGTATCCTGGTACTAAGAATGGATTTTTAGAATAGAGATCTCGAATGGTCTCAGAGCGTCAAAGATGTTGTATGTTATTAATCAATCGTATTAGATACATAGATTTGTCATTCAGCAGTTGCAGAGTGCATTTAAACGTGATTTAAATGTGACACTTTTTCTTTGATGTTTTTCATTTGATGGGCATTTCTCCATAAATTACTCTAAATATTCATCAATGTTCGCCTTGTTGATCTCATCAATAAAATTCTTCACCTTCGGCCTTTTCCTTGGTNAACCATGTCCATTCTCCAGAAATTCGTGAGGATGAAATATGCACTCAGTTTAGAGCATAAGGTTAGTACCATCTAATTAATAGGCACTTTCCAAAGATTAGGTTTACTAAAAGTCCTAAACAATTTTCAGTCTCTCTCCAGTCTCTCAGAGTCTTTCAGCGTCTCTCTCAGTTTTTTACAGTCTCCCAGTTATTGCCTAGGTGTTTTTATGGATCTCTCGCAGTCTCTGTATGAGAGGCTCGAACGATAAAATTGTTAATTCAGAGATTCGAGTCTCTCGTTCAGAGACTGGATACGAAATGAGGATCTCGTTCAGTCTCTCGACAGTTTCTCTCAGCGACACCAGAGAGACTCGAGTCTCGCTTTCAGAGACTCTGAGAGACTGAACATTTTTATATCGGGAGTGTAGATCTTGGTAAAGGTTTTTCATGGTCAGGAGATAAACTAATGCCAGATTCGCGTTTAAAGGCTGTCGTCAGTTGTAGTTGATTCCTAACATTCCACGAACATCCACATCCAGCATTGGAGATCTGGACCTCTGAAGAAACTCGCCACTCGTGATTGCGAGACGTTAGGAATTGACTACAACCGACGACAGCCTTTAGACCTTAATCAGAACAACATCAGTTCTTCTTAGAGATTTGCATACTGGGTCTAATACGGTTTCACAAGATTTAACATGATTGTTTTTCTAATGAAGGAAAGTACCTACCTACCGTAAAAATAATGATTATCCGCGTACTGATACGTCTATTGTTTCCATTTTTACAGGTTGACATTATCTACAATGGCGAAGTTTTACCCCAGTATTTCAGTCTAATGGATGTTGCGTACACCTTCAAGTGGCAAAGGGTGAGTGAACACGTTTTAATTTCAATAGTTTTACACTTTGGTACTCGGAAAAAGTTCAATACACACTAAAAACAAGGCCGTGTTTTATTGGTAATATCTATGCATATAAGTAGGTGATTTTCCTTAGTGTTTGACAGTGGTCAAAGGTTAAACAACATAACAAAGTGGTGTTAAATTTTTGTTGAGACCTGAATTATTTATCTGGCGGCCGTGAGAGGGGACCTTCCAAACGTCTGTTTGCTGAAGTGTTTGTACAGACAAAAAACCTTGATCATTATCATAATTATCCCATCATTTTTATTTTTAGAAGGTTTCATATCATCGTAACTTTTTTCGACGCGTGTGGCCGCTTGTAAGAAAAAAGATAAATTTGACTTTGTTTGACCATCACAGACACAAGTCTGGACATGTACTGACATACATATATCTAATTAGGGTAATATACCTAAATTCACCTATCGGCTACGTTTTGAGAGTAGCACAAAATATGACTTAGAATGAGAAGTGAGTTTTGTGAGTTGGGGAACTTATTGGTAGATACTGTTTGGGTCATATTGTGGACGATCTTGAACAAATGTCACTGATTTTACAATTCCCAGTCCTTTTTGAGTTACATGGGACATAATTGCNTGTTGTATGTTATCAATCAATCGTATTAGATACATAGTTTTGTCATTCAGCAGTTGCAGAGCGCATTTAAACATGATTTAAATATAACACCTTGCCTTTAGCCTTTGTCATCTGATGAGCATTTCTCCATAAATTACTCTAAATTTTCATCAGTTGTTCGCCTTGTTGGCCTCCTTAATAAAATTCTTCACCTTCGGCCTCTTCTTCTTCACCTTTGGTCTCTAAGTCTCTCGTACCGTCTGGCATTGTATATCTATATGTTACCTACTACCATCATATCCTGGCACTACGACTGGGTTTTTAGAATAGAGATCTCGAATGGTCTCAGAGCGTCAAAGATGTTGTATGTTATTAATCAATCGTATTAGATACATAGATTTGTCATTCTGCAGTTACATAGTGCGTTTAAGCATGGTTTAAATGTAACACCTTGCCCTTGGTCTTTATCATCTGATGGGCATTTCTCTATAAATTACTCTAAATTTTTATCAGTTGTTCGCCTTGTTAGTCTCCTCAATAAAATTCTTCACCTTGGGCCTTTTCCTTGTTCTCTAAGTCTCTCACGCTTTATCTTTATGTTACTAGATATCTATATCAATCAGTGGTTACTCAGTCAGTCATCAGTTAGTCACTTTTGCCATCGGGTTGTCCATCCACTGTAGTAGGTGGCCGCTTTTATTACAGAGTCGGAGGTGACGTAACAACATTAACCACGTCAACAACAACAACAACAAGAAGAAGAACGGCCACAAACAAGAGTCAGAGCGTGGTCATGCCAGAGCGACCGGCGGGCGAACGTTGCCCCTCCTCCAAACGCCCACTTCCACTGACCCTGCATAATTACCTTAATAACAACAACCAGGTACGACAACTATTATAACTGCATTAATAATATCAGCAACGACAAAACATCACATCCACCATCTGCACCAAAAAGCGCTCTCGCGACCGTATTTGTAGGTACGAATCTCAATGGGTATCGCGATACCCAAAAAGGTCATATCTTGGAAAGGTGCACCGGGATACAGTCGGAAACTGGGTTGGTAACTAGGACAAAGATGGTATAAAACAGTACACAAAATATATTAACTTTTCTTTTATTCAAACAGTATAAGTATATACACACATAATGGTTTATCGGTCTCTCTTGAATGGTCTTGTGAAGGCATAGACTCCTCATTTCTAAAAACCTAAAAGTCATTACTAGACACAGGATTAATGTATGCTTTAAGAATCAACATCTACGATAATCTCTATTAATATCTACAATAGAAGCTTCTAAAGTACAAAGTGGGCATATTTTTGAAAGTTTAGGTAATGTGGGACAAAGTCACAAACTTGGTCGATAACGAATATAAGGGCATTACACACAAAATAGAGAAATTACGGATTAATTGGTTAGTATAGAGGTAAGTAAATTGATCCTTGTGAAAAGCGCATCTCTCAGTTATCATTAAATATAAGATTAATAAAAATTTTCGCTAACAATTAACATCAAACGTTAAAAAGAAAATACACCTAACAAAGTGGTTTAATTATGAAGATGATGAACTGATTTAAATATACAGATCCACTTTCTATATCCACGAAACAATATCGGTGACAATCAGTCGTCCTTGATCATCAGCAATGGAGTAAAACTTAAATATCACCTCCCTCTTTTTCATATGCAGTTTAATATGCACCAAATTTGGGTTGGAAGAAGGGTGGCCCCTTTTCCGATTGATACTTTATCAGTTCCCCAGTTACCTAACAAAATTCAGTTTTCCAAATTTCCCTTCATGGGTGCATGTGTGAACAATATGTATTAGACGTTTGATTCTATCAATACAATCATATATTTATTCAATCTTAGTAAGTCTCTTTCGGTAGCAGTAAATCTTTAAAGTCATTCTCGAGTAGACTTTAATTGCTTTTATTATTTTATTCCAAAGGATTGTCTTTTCTTTTACAATTAGTGTTCTGTTAGGTATTCTTCCAGCTTATTGTTGTGTAATTTTAGATTACTGTTCATAAATAGATAAGGATGTGGGGTCCAGTTTTAGGGAAATGCGAAAATGAGCTCAGGATAGGGAAAAGTGGAGGTGCGTGTTCAACTCGCCCTAGGATTGACGACATTATGATGATGATATAATTCAAATCCACCATTATAATTCAGTCTTTTTAGATGCCACACCAGGTTTCATTATTAAAAACAAATAAACGTTTGTTTTATTCGGTCATATCTCATCGTAGTTAATTCTTCCATCTTTTACTTCTTATTAGTTCTAACATCCATATCAGTGGCTGCTCATGCCTTTAAATGTAGACGAAGAGTGAGAAAAACTCTCCTTAGAATTGGGAATATCATCCCTCAGAAGATGTACACCATCTTGACGTGTATCGAACAATATAAATATTTCAACGTAAGCATAATATTAGAGGGATGTATGTACTGACTAAAAAATATAATTACATTTTTTGTGTTCAGTTTTACATCTTAAGCTGTTGAGCAAGTAGTTGTTAAATAAAGATCTTGCATCAACAACGTGGAGTTCCCAAAGACGTCTCTAGTGAATAGGAGACGAAACTTATTTGAATACTTTTGATACCACCATGATCCATCATGGGGTTTTCGTTAAGACGATTCGGTTAGAATCCGGAAATCTAGTTTCCACAATGAGACTTTAGTATGATATTGTTACTGATGTTTTGTAAATTTTGATTCAATCTCAATAAGTAATACCTAATATAGTTATACGTTTTTATAAATTGATGATAATTAGGAAAATCTTTTTTGTAATCACGGGTGATAAAAACGTATTTTTAAGAATAGAAATGGTAACTTACCTTAACTTGTGTTCAATGTAAATTGAAATGGCATGCGATTTCCTGTGGAATAAAAAAGATACAGAGTTAGTTAATTCGTAAATTTTTCTTGATAAATTCTTATTATATTGTAGCATTAACGTATACATGTAAGGTTCATAGAAAGATGATTTATTTTTATGTAAGGACAGAGTTACCTACTTCTTGAGGAGTTAATTCGTAAAGGGCAAGACGTTATAATGTAAATTTCTGTTATTTGTTCCTTTAGCTAGAATAAAAGTATCTATATTTAAGAACAAAATAATAATTTATTAAAATGTTAGCAGCTAATAAGTGATGTATCTGGGTAGATAATGTTAAAACTACAGGTAAACTAAAAAAATGATTTTTTTAAAGAAAGATCAGAATAATTTCATCACCCTGCGTTTATTGATACAAAAATTCTGTTACACTTCAAACTGCAAAAGTACCCATATCTAAGCATAAAAAGTATTAACATATCAGTCCTAAGAAAGACTGGTTGGACACGCACCTCCACTCTTTGATATCATGAGCTAATCTTCGCATTTCCTTAGAACTAAAGTATCCTTAACTATTTGTGAACAGCAATCTAATCTAAGTCTATCTCTACTATTAATTCCTGTATCTGCTTCCAGTATAAGTCTCTAATGAAGGGCTAATTCCTGAGAAGGTGTCTTATCAACCTATCTCGCCTATTTCTTATTGGCTTCCATACTGCCCTCTGTTCTCCTACTCTTTGTGATACCTCCTCGTTTCTAACCTTCTCTATACACGATATTGTTATCAATCGCTTGTAACACAACATTTCGAACTCTTCTAATCTTTTCTTTTCCGCTGCCCCCATGTTCATGTTTTGCACACGCACAGAGTCGTGTCCAGACATTATCTCAGTTATCTGACTTCCTAGATACCGAAAATCAGCCACTTCTTCGATTTTTTCGTCTCTTTCTTTCCTTACTTTTTCGTCTCTTGCATACCAATATTTTTGTTTTATTTTTATGCAATACTTTTTTGTCAATACCGCCTTCCATTTTATTTAAAATTATCTCTAAATCCTCTCTGCTAGATGCTAAATACTGCCATAAAAAAAGTATTAAACCGATTGTAAAACAAGGTAAGTTATTGTAAAATAAACTCGGATAACAAAAGGGTCTCGACCTTTCTAGGGTGAGTATCAGCTTCCCTCGTTGCCGCTCGACCGTTTCGACAACAACACACCACCCCATTGGTCGATATTTCCCTTAGCTAATCGCAAGGCTACGACGAGAGCAAGGATAAAACGGAGCCGCTGCCGCTGCCGTAGCTGTCGCGTGCAAGCTAACGCTTCTACTACCACGTCGCGTCACAGGGTGGTTTGGGGAGAGTTAGGGCCGCCCACCTCTTACAGTCTCATGCTACCCTGCTACTTCCACCCTTCAAAACCACGTGGCTTACGGTAGCAACATTTTTTTTCTTATTTCGGGGGTTGAAAAGGACGCAAGCAAATCTGTCTACGTCGTCCCTTCAACGTTCTGGGGCTTATTTTGTATTATTGTTGCAAACAGGGTGGTTTCTCGTTTATTATTATTATTATTATTGCCTGTGAACGATAAAAGGGGATGTTGGCTCAGGTAGGATACTTCGGATGGGGGTGAAGGACTTAGACGAATCTGATGAGGGTTGTTGCTCTTTGTGACGACATATACCGACAACTATACTATTTTAGGGAATGAACAAATTCGTTAATTTTAAATGAGACCAAGGTTTGAAAATAGACGCAGAAGAATATCGAGAATGTCATGCGTTTTCAAATAATACTAAAGGATGATTTTACCTATTGTTTGACAATTGTTTTTTAGGTTTTAGCTAAATAATGTCTAAATAAATATACATTTGAAATTGTACTGTTCGCTATTTGAATTTAAATTGTATCAAGATACGAGAAAGTAAGCATAGATTTAATTATTGTTTAACAGAATGCGAGTTAGGTAAGTACCTACCATGTTCTTTTTATTGTTGTTACGTGTAATAATAGTTATTCCATAATTATTGTTGATTATTTGTAAGGCTCTTACACATCTAATAAATTCATTGAACAAAACGATAGTGTTCTAAATAATACGTTAATGTTAATTTTTTATAAATAAACAATTGTTACCGTAATTTTTATACCTACATGTATTTTTTTAATGCCCTAGTGTTGTTAATAATTGTTTAATAGGAGAAAGTTAAACTAATAAAATTGGTTATGAACAATAAAATTAATTGTTTATTTCTAAAATTGTTTTTTTCTAATCGGTTTTAAAACAAAAACCGTTTACGTACATATTTGAGGTCGAAGTCGGTGGAAACAAAAGTTATCCGCAAATAAACCATTAATATAATAATTGAAATGTTTCGTAATAATTATTAACCTTCAAATAAATAACAGTATATAGGTACCCTACTGTAAACAATAATCGTTAAATAATTAATTCATGTTTACGTAACAATGTTTTTAACTTTCTGGAAGATAAACAAATTGATTCACTATAAAAAAACCATCCCTTAAAGTACACACGAAGGTTGGAATGTAGGGTTACGTACTAGGATATCATGAGTTGTTGGGTGCAACTCCATTTTGTTAGCACGGGGGTTGGTGTGGCTTCTATATAACTAGAAGGGCTAACATTGAATTTTCACAAACTTTTGATTACATAAGTGACAATGTTATTACATACACTAATTGTCACGTACAGGAAACCGTTGTGGTTGAATTGTAAAATTTTAATTGTTTATTAAGTACCTGTTACAAAATATGACAAAATAATTTTGCATGTAGCAAAAACGTCGGGTAAATATTAGATAATAGTACTTACTTAAAAGTTGAAACAAAACATTCATTTCGATACACAGTTAGGTACTTACACATGAGTTGAACAAATTGATTTTATTGTATAATACAAAACGTATTTTAACTATGAAATTTATTGGCTTACAATTGTTTTAACGAATTTCATACTTTTCTTCAAAAAAATTCCGCATCAGAATTAACTTGCAACACTTTATGTGTATTGAACATATTTTTATTAATACCTAATAATATAAACAATAATGGATCTTGTATTTATTGAAAGGTATTTAAGAAACCATCGAATAGGGTTGATTATCAGGCGTCCAGAGGGTTGTAGGACGTCGCAATGTTCTGTTATATCACTGCGTACTTACTTGGTGTGTGATGAGGCGCATCCGCGTCGGGACGACGCCGACGACACGGCGTGGCGTCTATATTACATCAAGAGCACGGACGCTCAGGGTAAACGTCAAATATCGATCGGAGGGGTTGTAGGGGAGAAAAGGGAGCGCTCCGAAGGCAGTAAGGGCTGTTTTAGGGCGCCAGGTTGTTAGTTTAATAAATAAGTGATCGCAAACTCGTAGGTAATTCACAAATTCGCGAAAAACCTCGTCAAATTTTATTGTCTTCTATCTCGACATTTTTATGGCCTTCGCCGAAACGCAATTAAAATACACACGTAATTAAACATATGTAGAAGTAATTAATAATCGATTATTTTCAACTATTCCTTGTCCGCGAGGTACCTACAACATTATAAATTAATTAATGTACCTACTTAAGTAATTAACTGTTTAATCTGTACACACACATGTAATTGGATTCGTTACATAATAAAAATGATGATAACAAAAGTTGTTACTGTTTGGCACCTGAGTATTTTTATTGCGATGGCATTGTTGATAATGATAAGAAATTGGATGCAGTGTTTTTTACGATGGCAGGTATATACAGGTAAGGTAAAACCTTCAACGAACATAGGAATTACACAATTCCTTGTTGGCATATCAGTTGCTTCTCTGACAACTATCTTAAACTAACTAAACAATTTTTCTTTGTTATTTATATCAAAGACAATTGAAGGTGCTTTTCTGTAGCACGACGTATGTTTTAAAGGATGATGCCGACCTTTGATGATGAAGCAATTTATTTTATCTTAATATCAGATAAAAACTTTTTGCAAGGTAACAACTGACTCGCTTTTATTTATCTACTACCTATTGGAACAGCCGAACGCCTACCATTATAAACAGTATTACAGTCTTTGTATAGTCGTTAATTAGCAACAACAAAAAAAAAATACATTAAATAAAGGTATTGTTTATCAATCGAAACACCAGTTCATAATAGGTGTTTTTATGTACTCGATATCGCCGGTTTTTTGATTTATTACACGTGTTTTTTAAACGCTTTTAAATGTTTTGTGATAAAGTAATCAGTTTACGTATTCTTTGAATTCGTAATAACGACAATTGTATTGTGTTTTGTTTCAGATAAGACAAAATGGCCAATATGACTCATAGTCAGACTGTCCCTCAGCGGAAAATCTACGTTAAAGACCTCAACCCCTATATCACGTGCAATTTGTGTAATGGATACCTCATAGAAGCCACCACCTTGGTAGATTGTCTTCATGTTTGTAAGTTTGACATTAATCAATTATCTAATCTTGCATCTAATGCATATAAAAAAAAAATGTTTTTGTACAGACCCTTGTTATCATCTGCTTTTCACTCTAGTATGTGTATCACCATCGTCAGTCCTAGGATTAGCTGGACACATACTTCCACTTTTTTCCACCCTGACCCAATATTTGAATTCCCTAAAAATTTGTGAACTGTAATCTAATCTAAGTCTATTTCTGACCCTTTTAGCTTCTGTTTCTACTTCTAATATGCCTAACTACCCCTTTTAGATCTTTTTAAAGTGCTTGTTGGTATGATCGTATTGTTCGTGTTTTAACCCTTGACGTATAAGATCTTGCTTTTTCCCGAAATCCGTAAAAGTTGTTGAAAGATACAGAAGTTTCTTAGATGACTTTTGTTGAAAGGCTTGTTGCTGATTAATTGTACAGTTTTCTTTATTTCTTTAGTTTGTAGGGCGTGCATTTTACGCTACTTCGAGAACTCAAAGATGGGTTGTCCCATGTGCAACACCGTCTACAAAAAGAAGAACTTCCCTTGCTTCAGGTATGCCGCTATTTTTCTTTAAATTACATATTCCTGAATTTTTTTTCAAACGCAAAACATTTCAATCTTCCACAAAATTATAATTTATCAATTTGATTATCCAAAAAACATACGTAATTATGAATCGTTACATTTCTTCCTTTTTGTCGTGTCCTCCTCGATGATGGCATTTTAAAATTTCGCGTTCGTGCGTATCGCGTAGTACATTGAATTATGCATTTTGCTTACGAACCTCGAATTCCTTGCAAGGCCCGATCCCATAATGCAGTCGCTGGTGTACAAATTGGTTCCTGGATTGTACAGCAAAGAGGTTCAGCGGAGAGACGACTTCTACCGCAGCACGGCCATCCGAGCCAGCAGTTCGTGTAGCGAAGACAGCGTGATTGGCGATCTCAGTCAAGAACACGAAGAATGGGTAAGTAATAAATAAATGCATAGGTGCACTGTGACACGCCAAAGACTGCCGCTCTCTCTGAATACTCTTTCCTATATTCAGCAGGTAGAAATAACAGAATGCGTATTTCTTGACCAAATAAACGTCTGACCAAGGAACCCTAGTACGTGTTTATTGTCCCTTTTCTCTTTGCATCAATCTTCATACTGTCAATAAATATTCCACTCATCCACAATATTTCTTCATAATCGTCATCTTCATCTTCTCTTTCTCTCTTTCTTTCAACATATAGATGACTACCAACGTGGACGACCAGTTCCAGTACTTCAGCCCGGATGACTCAATATCGCTCTCCGTGGAATATTACCAACCCCATTTGGATCAAAACGCGAACCGCGAAGACGCCCCGACGCAGAGCAGAACTAGCCCTAGTGGTAGTGTTCAAAGTGTAACCGAACCAAATGTGATTAATAAATTGATTGTGAGTGACGGTTGTACGAACGGTTTAAAAACGGGTAACGAAGACGGTGAGGTTGTTGAGTGTTCCGGCGTGGAAGACAGTCAGAAGGCAAAGACCGTTATAGATATTGTGCCAAAAATTGAGGACGGTTGTACTAAAAGTGATGCGGGTGAAAGTGACAAAGACGGGAGGAAAGACAAGAGATATTTGCAATGCCCGGCGGCTGTAACCATGTCCATTCTCCAGAAATTCGTGAGGATGAAATATGCACTCAGTTTAGAGCATAAGGTTAGTACCATCTAATTAATAGGCACTTTCCAAAGATTAGGTTTACTAAAAGTCCTAAACAATTTTCAGTCTCTCTCCAGTCTCTCAGAGTCTTTCAGCGTCTCTCTCAGTTTTTTACAGTCTCCCAGTTATTGCCTAGGTGTTTTTATGGATCTCTCGCAGTCTCTGTATGAGAGGCTCGAACGATAAAATTGTTAATTCAGAGATTCGAGTCTCTCGTTCAGAGACTGGATACGAAATGAGGATCTCGTTCAGTCTCTCGACAGTTTCTCTCAGCGACACCAGAGAGACTCGAGTCTCGCTTTCAGAGACTCTGAGAGACTGAACATTTTTATATCGGGAGTGTAGATCTTGGTAAAGGTTTTTCATGGTCAGGAGATAAACTAATGCCAGATTCGCGTTTAAAGGCTGTCGTCAGTTGTAGTTGATTCCTAACATTCCACGAACATCCACATCCAGCATTGGAGATCTGGACCTCTGAAGAAACTCGCCACTCGTGATTGCGAGACGTTAGGAATTGACTACAACCGACGACAGCCTTTAGACCTTAATCAGAACAACATCAGTTCTTCTTAGAGATTTGCATACTGGGTCTAATACGGTTTCACAAGATTTAACATGATTGTTTTTCTAATGAAGGAAAGTACCTACCTACCGTAAAAATAATGATTATCCGCGTACTGATATATTGTTTGCACTTTTACAGGTTGACATTATCTACAATGGCGAAGTTTTACCCCAGTATTTCAGTCTAATGGATGTTGCGTACACCTTCAAGTGGCAAAGGGTGAGTGAACACGTTTTAATTTCAATAGTTTTACACTTTGGTACTCGGAAAAAGTTCAATACACACTAAAAACAAGGCCGTGTTTTATTGGTAATATCTATGCATATAAGTAGGTGATTTTCCTTAGTGTTTGACAGTGGTCAAAGGTTAAACAACATAACAAAGTGGTGTTAAATTTTTGTTGAGACCTGAATTATTTATCTGGCGGCCGTGAGAGGGGACCTTCCAAACGTCTGTTTGCTGAAGTGTTTGTACAGACAAAAAACCTTGATCATTATCATAATTATCCCATCATTTTTATTTTTAGAAGGTTTCATATCATCGTAACTTTTTTCGACGCGTGTGGCCGCTTGTAAGAAAAAAGATAAATTTGACTTTGTTTGACCATCACAGACACAAGTCTGGACATGTACTGACATACATATATCTAATTAGGGTAATATACCTAAATTCACCTATCGGCTACGTTTTGAGAGTAGCACAAAATATGACTTAGAATGAGAAGTGAGTTTTGTGAGTTGGGGAACTTATTGGTAGATACTGTTTGGGTCATATTGTGGACGATCTTGAACAAATGTCACTGATTTTACAATTCCCAGTCCTTTTTGAGTTACATGGGACATAATTGCGACTGAATTTTTGAACGAGTTCGTTCACTCTCCTAGTGCATTTACCTATGTCATACAGTGAGTGCTAGGTGAAACTTAGCATTAAAATGGCAAGCAGTAGATATACATGTAGTGACAACAACATAATAGAAATTCGCAGCAGTAAAAAGTTTAAATATAGCCCGTCAAGGTCGTTTTTCGTTTTCCGCGTAATCAATTGCGCGCGCTTTGCAGATAGATCTTGCCTACGGCCACGTGACACTGCTAAATACATGCATAATATCTGGTTTATTATAATAACAGTGGCAGTTCAATAAACTTGAAAAGGAAAAATCAGAAAGCGGCACGCACGCTGTCCAAATTTCTTCTAACTAGGCGCATGCTCTTATTATCATTTTTCACACATGGGTTTTTTATTATGAGGTCCTGTTACTCGATACGGGACATGGATGCTTATCAAACATCACTAAAGATAAGCATAAGGTCGTCAATGTAATACAGTCACAAATCTTCATACAGTGTTATTGTAATTCCAGAACAAGTGAACTGATTACAGTAGTGCCTGCTTTATTTAAAAGCATAAATTAGATAGAAAGCTCTTGGCATTGTTGCTGGTTACGATTCATCCAGTCCTTTTCAAGACCTTTAGCGTCAATTACAGACCACGAAGAGGATCTCAATTAGTAAGCATTCCAGTTTTGCGAGAGAGAGATACATTACCCAGCCGAAATTAAGAATGTAGATGTTGAGATTGAGCAATGAGTTTAACCTAGACGTGATACATAAGGAGAAAAGACAGAAGGATCCATCACACCACTCAGCAGAAGTTAAGAACGTAGATGTTAAGATTGAACAATGATTAACGTAAGCATGGTACAAAAGCAGGAAGACCAGGGTCATCTAGAACACCACCCAGCCGAAGCTAAGAATGTAGATGTTGAGATTCACCAGTGAGTTTAACTTAAACATGATACACACGGAGGAAATGCAGAGGAATCCATCACACCATTCAGCAGAAGTTAAGAACGTAGATGTTGAAATTGAGCAATCGCAAACTAATAACAAATGCTGTGTTATTTGTCATTTTTCTTTGGACCCCTTTTTCTTAACGTCCTAACGTCTCCCAAGATGAAATATGTAAAGACCGTATGGTCTTCAACTCGAAGACTAGTTGTACCTACACGCAGTCCATTTCTTCCTGTCTTGAGTCACTTTTCGCATTTTTCGAAAAATTGGAGCAATGTATCTGCCTCAGCCCATCATAACTACTGTTTCTGCTTCCAATATGACCCCAATTAGCCCTTCAAGTCTGTGACGGTGTCCCAGTAACTTCCATAGCGCCTTCTGTTCTCCTACTTTTCGTAATACCTCCTCATTCTTCAACTTCTGGGCTATTTCATGTGACGGTGTTACTTTCAACACTTCTAAATGAACTGTAGATAACCACGAACTACTTTCTTTCGTGGACTTTCTCTGTGTTATTGCAAATATCATTAAAGGGGGCTGTTTAGACTTTAAGAAATACCAATGGAATTACTAATTGATCCTCTGCAATGCTTTCAACACTTCTAAGTGAACCGTAGATCACCACGACCTACAGAATACGTGGACTTTCTCTGTGTTATTGCAAATATCACTAAAAGGGGCTGATTAGACTTTAAGAACTTCTCTGTTCCTCACGGAAGCGCTTGTAAGTGTGTAGTTTTTAAAGAGCGTGTGTTTTTATTAAACGTACACGTGCGCATCTTTAGACGGCGATTGGCGCAAAAAAGTTGCGCTCATTTCGTTCTTGAAGTACGTTTATTAATCACTTCCACCCATTCGTTGGTCGTTTCGTGTCGCGCGCGAAAAAAAGCGACTGGTTCGCGCAAACTGCCGCGTCAAATTCCGACAAACGAGCGTGCAACAATAAAATGACTCGCGGAACACAAGGTCGCACGTATCCTCGTACATAAGTACTTACGTCCGATTTATTTAAAATAACAACTGACAGCTGGCTGTCAGTGCCGCTGCCGACTCACCACATCAACAACTGCAACCCTCTCCTTCTATCTACCGGTTATGGCGCGACGGGTCTATCGCTTATCGCTTTTGTAGGAAGGCGGCTGCTGAATATGGCCTACTATCTAGCAATAATAACAACAGCGCATTAATATTAGCATAAGATTAGAACTTATAATATATCGAATACAAATACGACAAGTCGCAATCGATGTGCTTTCGTTGTCTTCTTTTCGATCTCCCCACGGTGCGCGTATAGTTGGCCGTGTCTTGTTAGCGTTCCGAACTCTCCATGACAACAACGTCAACTACTACTCCGATAAGGACGACTCGTAGACGACGTGGAGATACATAAATACAAAAAACTGTTCACTGGGTGTATTACTTATATTCTGAGTGTGTGTAATGGTAGGTAATGCCTTCACGTACGAAATCATCACCTACTGTCTTTCTTTTGTTTACATTGTCGTGCGCCCAATTGTTTATTATTTTGTTTCTAGTATGGCGTGCGCAACACTGTCATAATATGTACCTGTCCTGCGTCCGTCTCTTGTTATGTTCGGTAGTTTAGCTGTCATCAAATGGATAAAACGCGTGCGCTTCCTACAGGGTCATTAAAATTGGAAAATCTATCGACGTGACGGATAAGGACGGATAAGATGTATCTCCTATCTTCAACTCAAGCATTTCAGCCAAAAATGTTGATGGTATTTGGTCATGTCAAAGAAATATCAGAGAGCCTTTTGTCACTCATCAATTCCGGTCAGTTTGTCTTAAACACATCAGTACCATAAGTTTATGAGGCAACTTCGGTGGTTGATTTCTGATGACATTAAATACCATTTTGCAATCTTCGCTTTGACCGAACGGCATGACCAAGAGGTTTAGTCCATTGTTTATTATTCGGGAGGACGCCGGTTAGATTCTAGATCCTTCTGCCTTGGTCCAAGTTTTTCTGTGATTTCCTTGGAGAGCTTAGGCAAATACTGGGGCAGTAATATTCCACAGATAATCTTTCATTCTCTTCTATCTTCATTTCATCCATCTCATGTCTCTCACCCGAACCACCACCCACCCATTCCCACAATTCCTGAAAGGAGGCAGAAGAGGGCCTTCCGCCCTACCTTCTCGCGTAGTCCGAAGGGGCTACCCGCCCACCAGCAGGAACGAAAAACCAAAAAGTTTTTTTTTAATAGCTTCCAAACATCGCAAGATTGCGATTGTTAAGGTTATTTTGTTAGAAGTAAAACTTTTGTATTTTTATAAAACGTTGCAGAAAAGCATGTTGGCACATTACTGTTACTACTTACAGCATATTATATCGTAGTTATTACATCCATAAATGTGTAAATGTGTTGGCATTCTCATGTTGTGTTGCAAGCTCCAAAACGAGGTGCTAATGCGCCAGCCCATTCCGAGTAAAGCGCTTCTCTACCGTTCCGCTGTCGCTGAAGCCGCTACTTCTACGCCGTTCTACGTTCTCCCTTTGCCAGCCTAGGCGTTTTATTATTATTCGAAAATTCACGAACGAGCGGCGGAGAGCGCCGTGGCTGCTAGCCTCTTCCTTCTCTCTTCCCCGTCGCCGCTCTTCCTTTCTCATCTGATCCGCGTTGCTAATAATCGTATCCCTGACGATAACGACGCGACGACTACTACGTACGGTCTCTCTTGATATTGCTCTTCGACGGTTCTAATTAGTTTTGTTAGCAACCAACGTCGATGGCAAGTAGGCCATGACAAAAATGCTCTCGCTCGCTACTCCACTGCTGCTTACATTACAGTACCTATTATAATAGCAGTCGAGCGCAGTTGCAATGATGAACGCGTTTGATCGCGGGAAATAGGAGCGAAAATAAAACTTCGTCTCCTTTTTGGTTTTGGTGGCTTATAATGGTACGTATTATTATTGCCTGAAAAGTCGACTCTTGAGCTGCTATTCTACGTCGCAATCGGTAATTGAAGTTATCCGTTTCACTCTTGCATGTTGTTGATTGATGCGGGTGTGTTGCTGGCCTAGATTTTTTCCTAAGGAACACTTAACCCTCTTCGATAAAAATTAATTTAGCGAAGTCTATTTTTTTAGATATAACGGCCGAATAATTTCTATCTGTGGTATTCTTGGAGCAGTACGAGCAGTAAACGACTTACATACACTTAAACTAACACCAAAAAAANACGATAAATGAAATAGAAGCAACGTAACAAAGGAAACAATATCAAAACAACTAGGATTGGTGATTACGTAAACAAAACATGCGAGACTTACTGAGTATTGCGATTTCGTGCAGAAGTTGACTTTAACGGTGTTGATGGTGAGTCCTATGAGCGATTTCTGGTAGATCTGGATGAATCAAATGATGTTGGTGAAACTGATCTGCTCGTTCCCGATGG